GCGATGAGAGGCTGGCTCGTCGCCGATTACTGATCGGCTCACGTTATCCAAGTGATATGGTCCTAAGTTGACACTCGTTAGTCATCTCCAATGAAGAGAAGAACAAGAAAATTTCAGACGGAAGCCGTGATGCAATCTAGAAGCCTCTCAGGACGTTGTTCCAAATTCAGAAAACGGAAATTTTCCATTTTTAAGCCAGCCGAAGTACGACCCAATAAAATAGTGGATCAAAAACTTCCTGTTCCTTCCTTTTAATATTTAATTGAATACAAAACTTATATCACTGTAGTTTCGGCTAATTTGTTTCAAAAAATTAACATGTTAATAAGAATGCCATGACGTTTTGTTTGGATTGCAAACTTGCTTGGTTCTACCTATTTTGCCGTAGAGTTATGCATAATAAAAACAATATTCTCAATCCAGCAAGATTACCAGCATTATTGATATGTACTTCTTCCCATTTCTGAACATCATTGCAGAGTCGTCAGTATGTACGTGTAGCATCAGATCTTCGTCTGCTTGTTAGGAGCCTATCACCTTGAACCGTCTGCTTAAGCAAAATGCTCGCTGCTTTTGATTTCCGTTGTACGCTCACGTTTCCAGCATTTTTGATGTGTCTCTCCCTGCCAGACCGTTTCCTCATCTTTATCTTTCATGTTGCATGACCATTCTGTCGATATCGCCATGTTTCGAACAATTGAGAAGCTCAGGGGGTTAAGGTTGCTACTTTATGCTTAGCCAATGCACCAGGCTGACTCCATTCTCTTAAGGTTTTTGCCGATTGACGACCCCTGCTCTGGAAAAGATTGGAGTCATTCATTACATGGTCTTGTCTTTTAACTATCCTCATGCGTCGAGAAGAGGGAAGGATCTTGATATTCGACGATATCTTCTGTTAAGACGATACACTGTACGCAAGGGTTTGCTATGTTTTATTCAGGGATTAGGTCATATGGCACTGCAAACGTTTCTGCTTTTCTGCTTTTAATCAAGTCATAATTCCAGATTGACTTTCTGTAACGTAAAAACATAGTCTGAACGACATAAAGGTCTGTTTGCCCCTGGTTACCGTTATCATGCTGGCCGATTGCTTTGAAATTCATGATAGTCATTACGTCTGTTGTAACATTTAAGATACATGGGCAATGTTGCATATTGCTCTGGAATACATGCAATCACTTCTGCTCTTCTTCATGTGATAATATGGTGTATAGACAATTTTAGACAAGATTGTTTTTTCTGGAATATATGTCGATATGGTTTGAACGGAACAGCACCAGCTGTGAGTGTTCATCATACCAAGGTCAGAGTCGTTCAGTTCACAAAGCGTTGGATTCATGGGGTGATGTGTCGTAGATTAGAATTTTGACAGGAATAAACTTTCTATCTTCGTCCTGAGGTAGGTAAGAGTGTCACTGCTCGATAGAAATACAAGAGAGTCAAAAATGTAGCGGCCGCCTAATTAGAAACGCAGCTATAAAAAACACGGCTATGATGAATACTATCACCAAAATTGGTGTCTAATTTGCTAGAAATTTCTTTCCTCCTTTTTTCCACTGCAACGCATAATTTTCTGCCTCATTCCAGCATAATGACACCAACATAATTACCTCTGAAGGATAATGAGTGAACGGTCGGGATCGGAAATCATGATCTTTCGACTGCTGGTTCGGTTGTTGCCTGAGATACCCTGAACCAGCTGCTGTAAGGTGCCTTAGTTAATCTGAGAGCTTGATTCGTAATTCCATATGTAATGATGGCCTTGAGACTTTGAACTGTTCTGTTACCAGCGAGATACTCATCACAACTGCAAAATGAACCAAATCCGAAATCGTCGTTGCCAAATTTCAGCTTAGCTTTTTGTAAAGACAGTCCTCTTTTAAAACTGTAAAATACAAGTATTGACGGAAAGATTTGATCGTGCAATTTTTACACGTAAATATAGATGAGTGTATCCTTTCCTTCTGCTTGAGCTTATGATCAGGTTAACTTTCTCTTGACAGAGGTATCTTAAAGAGAAAAGTTGATGTGTCGAATCTACTATCTCAGTGGCTACCTTTCAGGGTTCATCATAGGCCTTCAGAAATGCTGTAGCGGCTAAAGACAAATCTTAAAGACAAACAGTTTGCAACCATATTTGATCAGTATCTTAGCCATGATTAGTTGTATGCAACGTGGATGCAAATTTCGAACGTGGATCCATGAGTAGCCCAATGAGATGGACAACTCAAGAAGTAGTCACTTCGTTTGATTGTACATCTTCGTCATAATCAGGTTTGACCAAGCCATTTTAGTTTTATGGCAGAGAATATGAATTAGCATGATCAAAAGGTACCCTTTTGTCTACTTATCTATGTAGTCATATGTCTCTGCAGAAAACTTCATCTCTGTGAGTAGATCTGCGTTGAGTTCTTCCCTGAATTGCATGCAGTTCTCACAAGTGATGTGTGATTTAGTTCAGGCTCTGGGGTAAGGAGATGGTTGAGAAGACTTAAATAGCACTCCATCTGACACTCATTTAGGACAAGTCTCTTGTTTCGATCCAAAGTTTTCGATTTTTGGCCCGTTGTCGAAACTGCAACAAATTTGCTGATCTGTGGTTTTGAAGAGATCTAACAAAGCCAATGTAAAAGCTTCTCTTGGCAACGCGTTTCTTGGCCACTTCGGTATCATCATTGGAGCACAAATTTGTTGTTTTCTTTTTCTTGCCTTCTTAACTTTCGTTCCTTATGCTTTTTGGTGCTACGTTGCGCGTTACCTCAAGAAAGGGCGGCATGGTTTTTACATATTAACTGCAAATGTTCAGTTCGTCAGTGCAGTGCTTCATTGTCTAAAAGGAATTCTTATTCATTGACCGGTTGTCTAAGTGTCGTCAAAAAGCGGTAATGTGAAAGAGGCTCCTTCTAAACTCGTTTAAAAAACGCGTCTGTGTACATTGATTGAAACAGTGGCATTTCAGCGAAAGGAAAGTTTCTGAAGTGGATGCGTCATCCTCTTCCACAGTCACTGGCGCCCAAGGCAACAGGCAACATCTTTATTTAATATGCATCTATCACCAGGAAATTCTCTAATCAATGAAAATACGATATCACAGAATAACTCTGTAGCTGTTTGCTTTACTCGTTTTCTTTCGTCAAATTCGGCTCTCTGCAGATCTCTAATATTTGAAACGGAACAGAGGTTAGCGTTCAATGCTCAGTGAGGTCAACGATCTCATCGTGCACCGATATAAGATCAATATGCTCGTTTTCGACTAGTCTCTGAACTAGAAGATGTTCTCAGACGGAGGCATTTCAGCAAGCGAAAGCCAAGGCAGTTCTCGCAACGCGCAGAGCAGCATGGACACAAATCGACGTAATGGCTTGCCGTAAAAAACGGTCATTTCG